ACTGGCGAGGAAGGAAGTGCCGCCGGTTGCAGGGAGTACTTCTTCCACGTGGGCTGCACATACTTCCTGCACACATGTGGCGGGCAAGTTGTTCGAATACCAGGCCAGTTTCTTTCCCTAACCCTCTGACTACCCGTGCTTGGTGACTTAAACCACGCCTGAGTGAAATTTGGGGGTCCCGGTTTTTTCGACGCAAGACCCCGAATGCTGTGGATGGACAAGCTCGCGCCAGTTGGGCTGGTTTATCCCAGTATTGCTTGGCTGGTGCAGACAGTTCTCCGTCAGGGTGTGCAAAAAGCACAAGTTGCGGATGGGCCACAGGGTCTGCTTTGCCCGAGGCTTACCGCCATGGTCTTGGTCAGCTCGCTGATGCCATTTTTCGGCTCTCAGCTGCCAAGCTGCAACGAGTTGCTCATTCGTTAGCCAAGTGGCAGTTTCTATGTTTTCAAACCCTGCCAGAAGACGATACTCCAGTTGGGGAAGCCGCCGGTCCACTTCCGTGATTGCTGGCAAACGGGTAGGTGCTACATTTCCCAAATGGAAACTGAAAGGGCATGGACAGGTTTTGCAATTTGTCAAGACCCTGTATGCAACACGCGGATGTGCTCGGTTGGCGTAGTTGGGGGGGGGTCAAACTTACTCTGAACGTGCTTACCCATGCGAAGAACTAATCACCCCCTCCACTGCATATGTGTTATGATGTTCCTTTTGTTCGTCGCCTGGCCAATGCTCGGATTCATCTTAGGGGGTCCCGAAAACGGATGGTTTGCCAGCGTCAACCAAGAGACAAGAGGGCCCCCACAATCAGACCACACCCGTTTGCCAACCAACAAAAGCATGAGAAAATCATTGCTGGGACAATCTGAACTTCGGATTGGTCCGAAGGACCCTAAGCGCTGGTTTCCCGTGTTTTTTTTGGTCAGAGAATGATGTCTATTTGCGGGGGGTTCCTCCCCTCCCCCCAAAATGGCGGTCCAACGGCACCCAAAATCACCCAACGGGATCACTTCACTTCAGCTGTTGGGATCATCACTCTGCGCTCGGCGCTCGGCGCCAAGGCTCGATGCCCGCGACGCCTTGGACCTGCGGAAGGCGGGCTTCGACTGTGGAGCAGCTACCTGGGATGAAACTTTGGAGTGGAGCCACTCGTCGAAAAGGAGGGAGGGAGGGGCCCCGGGTACGTCCAACATGGAACCTCTCGCTCAAAGCGGACGCGAGGAAAATCCCCAAAAGGAGACGAGTCTTCCAAAACGTCAGGGAGGGCTGCCAGAGGCCTTTGTTTTTAGAGTTGAGTTTCAGGTTGCATGCGAGGGTATCGGGGTTGCGGCTTTGGCCTTGACACCCGGGGGTGCTGCAAGGACAACACACGGGGGTGCTGCAAGGATATATCCCAAACCTCCTGCGTGATAAGGAGGGCTGCTGGCTTATGTTGGCATTAGAGCCACTTCCTCAAAACCACGGTGCAGACAAATAATGTCTTGATATGAATCCAATGAAAACACGTAATGCAATGTACCACGTTCAGTTCGCTGGCGCGACATGGCTGACGCACTACTCGGAGAAGGAAGACGTAAGACAAAGACTGATCCATATGCCCTCAACACCATGAAGCATCAACCACGTCGAGATTGTCCCCCCCACCCCTCCGCTATGGCTGTTTGGATGCGTGCCTTGGTGCGAACACTGCGCGGCCCTGCCTTTGCCTTTGCGCGCAAACGCGTACGCATGCTTACCCCGCCCCCCACCGGGGCAAGGCGACATGTAGGAAGTGGTAGCGGTTGAGGCGCTTGCAACCAAAACAAACTGGGTCTCCAAACCAAGTTCCTCGGTTTTCCCTTTGGTGCGACGCGAAATACCTTTTAACCTTTTGGGCAATGTGTTTTCCACAGTCGCCAGCACAAGGCCCGAGAGATGTCACCTTTTGCAGGGGGGGTCTAAGAGTCTAAGACCCTGCCCACGGCTTGGGAGAGCCCAGGCGACCTGAAGCTGGACCACTGCTGTGAGGATGCGGGAGTCGGCTGCCAAAGGGTTCCGCCGGGAGCCCAAGATCTCGTGGCGAATCAGAGATGGAGCCACCTCAAAAGTGGTCCTCAGTTGTTCAGTGGCTCCAATTATTTTTCCCTTTTTGTGTGGTGGCTGCCCCACTAAAATGGTCTTCCCAAAAAGGGGTTTTCTTTTTTTTCCAGGGTCACTGAACAACTGAGGGTTGGTGGCCATGAATCCCCAGCCAATTGGTGTCCACCCCTCCAGTTCTCCTCCACTTAAGTCGACTGACGAGGTGTGTTTTTGCTGAGGGTATTTTTATTATTTGCAGCTTAAAAGGAAAACCACAATTTGCAAAGTCTGCAATTTCCGCCACATCCCCAGGTACCTTGCTGCGCACATCTGCGTTGAGTGCAGTTGCTTTGCAAATGTGCATCATGAATCATGACTTTTTGGTTAGTGCTTTGTTGGGGCCTGTCAGGTGATCCCCAAATGAAACTCACTTAAAGAGGATGCAAGGGCAGTTGAAAGTTGCTTCAGGGAGTCAACATGATGTTTGACCCCGAAGGCCACTTGAGAGCATGTGGGAGAGCATTCAAGGGATTTTAGCACATTCGAGGGCATTCGGGCACCCAATACCTCTCAAAAGTACTTTGAAGTTACGAGCATTGGATGGCATATGGTGCCAGCAGCAAATTGTGTGTCAAGACCATGTGAGCCCAACACACCACTACACAAATACTGTTTGAGACTGAGGGCATTTAAAGGCGTTTGGTGCTGTTTGGTGCCCAAAAAGCTTTAAACAATTACATTTTCTTCAATTTAAGGGTTTTTTGGTGCCTAACAATTTCCCAAACAGATGCTCCTTTGGAGTGGGGTTCTGCAAACCCCTAGAAAAACAACATTTATTTTGAGATGCACTGATTCAATTGTTATCTATGTTCAGCACATTTGCCCTGGAAAGGACACCAATCTTGAATGTTCTTGTCAGTCCTTTTGTGGCTGCAAGCGGGCATTCTCCAATCCCGGCTTGGAGCCAAAACTCTGACGTCACTTCGGGCTTGCGATCTCTTTGTCTTGTTCATGGGCTGCTATACTTGAGACATGCCGCAACAAGACCAAAGTCTGAGTTTGAAAGGGCATGGAATCTAGAAAACGCTTGGATTGCGCTTTTTGTGGATTTTACCCGTCCTTCCCCCCGTAGGATCTTTTTTAGTACTCTTTTAGTACTCGTTTAACATCCTACAGGGGTGGATCCACAAAAAACGCATCCAAGCCGTTTCCTAGATGGAAAGTAAAGCCTTCGGTGAGTTGCCCAGGGCCTATGTATGCAGCCTTCCGCGTGACACCTGGCGTTTTGGCCTGAACCGCTGGTGCGGGCCTCGGCTCCTCGGCTCGTCGGCTCGTCGGCTCGCGCCTGACCGAGCCGGGAAGAAGATAGCGAGGCCTCGTAGAAAACGACGGAAGGGATGGGCGAGTCCCGGTTTTGCCACATGGATCGCACGTGAGTCCAAATGATCAATCGAATAATAGTGCCGTTTCGGGTTTCGAGATGTTTGGTCTACTTGCAGTTATGCTCCAAACATGTGAGCCTGTATTTTCAGGTGCTTTAAACACAAATGGAAACGGCTTCCATTGGGACCTGGGAACCGCCTGAAGACAATGTTTGAACTCCAACAAGGAGCTGACTATACAAATTGGACCTTTGCTTTGGACGGGTAATTCTGCATATGTGTCCAAGCTATATCTTGTTCCGTGTTTGCGCAGCACCCCCGCCCCCTTACGTAAATCCTGTTGTCTTTCCCATACCCCCTCTCAAACATCTATCTATTGCTTCTCGATGAAAGTGGGTATGCCTTCTTGTTGGTGGTGCCCTTCGTGCAGTTTTGGCCAAAGGGAACCCCCGCCCATCTCCACATGGTGGACAGCCATCGGTCCGTCCAGTAGAGTTGGATGAACTTGCTTTCAACAACCTTACACCGGCGGGTCCCTCAAAGGTCCTCAAAGTGACCAATTTCAGGGTCAAAACAACTTTTGGGAGAGGTTTGCTTTTAAGCCACCATTGAGTTTTCGGCAAGTTTGATGTCATTGAATTTGAATAGTGCTTATTTTAGTTGAGTTTCATTGTTAGTCATAGTACCTTTTGTGCCCTAGACGGGTGTATCATGTTTCACCCAGGGCTTGGCACAGGTGCTGCGCCGTAGAGGGCCTCGCCTGTGACTCGGTGAACTCCGCGCTGCAGTCCCTGGAGCGGACGCCCAATCGGCGGGTCCCTGGGGTGTCTCAACCAACTTATCTTGATGCGGCTCCCAGCAAATCGTCCGGTTCCTTAGGAGTTTTCAGCTTTTTAGTTGGTTCAGTTTAGTGGTTGGGTTTCCACTCAACGCACTGATAGTTAAAAACTTTTTGCCGGGGATCCGAGGTCAACCCAGTTATGACAATGGTGACAAGGGCCACCGGTGTTTCCCCTGAAAGCCTCAGAACCACGGTTATAGCCTGCTTGCTAAGAAATTGAACACCCATGTGGCAGCCTTCCCTCATTTTAGGTTCCACTAAAGTCTGAAACCCACACAAACTGCAACTCACCGACCAAACATGATAAACATCACCACCGTGTTTCTTCCTTTGAGGTCACTGGGCAACTGGACATATGGCCGTGTTTGAGTTTGTAGAGTCGGTACATTGCCTGGGTGTTGTTTGCAAGCCAGACACCCAAGAAAAACCGCCGGTATCTCATTTTACTCACATGTTTGGTTTTCCCAGTAGGTCCATATCTTGCCAAGCCTTTTCTTTCCCAGGCCCTGGGGCAAGTGAGTAACACTAGATTATTCGCGCGTTTCCCAGCATCGGCAGTCTCATCCAAAGAGGGCCCACAGGTTCCCAACAGCTGGCGGGTGTGTTGCAGACCCTGCACAGACCAGGTGGATTGCACGACTTTTTTTGGGGTAGTCCTACCGGTTGCGGAGGGGATCCGCCCCCATTTGCGAGCAGCTGAATGCGTTTGCTTTGAGGTTGACATGACCTCTGCTGAGCCGCAGCTCTGCAGTAGCCCCAGCCCAGCTTTGCGTGCCGTGGTGGGCTTTACCGGGCCAAGCTACGAGCAACCAGCGGCAACGTAGCTTTTGTGGATAGACAAACTCCTGCACTAGATGCAACCCCATGAAGAATGGCATGAACCACGTACCACGGCAAGATGCTATTTGCGTGGAGCATGACCGTTTCTTTCCCTTAGCAACGCTGACAGTAGATAACACTCGCAATTGCACTGCACCCTTCACAGCTGCATTGCATGCATGTACTGCGCATTTTGTATATCACCATGCTTGCTGCCTGTGGGTAATACAACACATGTGAATCACACTTTCTATTCCTATCTGGACCAAGCATGCCGTAGCGGCCCGACCAGCAAATATGCAAACAGCATTCGGTTGAACTTCTGATGGGCCCAGCCAGCAGCTATCTCCGACAAACATGTGACTTCAAGTATGTTGTAAGTACTAACTGCTTTTTGTTTTGACAACACTTTTTTTGCGCAGAGTTTGGCATGGCTTCCGCCGGTTGCTATATCGCGTCCAAGTGGTCCAGTCTTGCAACACGTGCAGTGGCCTTGAGGCAACAGGCTGTTCTGCCCAACAGGCTGCCGCCTTGAAATTGTGGATCCCATGAAGTTGTGCTGTGGATGGACGAAATCCTGCACCCTTCAGAATGGAATGATTGGATTTCCTTGTCAATCCCGACGGGCGTTCTGGTTTCAAGCATAGTTTCATTTCGTGGCGCGAAAGGGATTTCGCAGCAATCCACTGTGAATAGGAATTGCAGCAAAGAGTTGGGTACCTCGTTCTATGTGACCTCCGGTTCTTGGTCCGACATAGTCCGGCCATGTTACCGATGAAGATGCGGGAGCAAACTCCCAGTCCAGGGGGTCTGTCGGTTTCTGAGACTGGGGAGCGCCAGCGGTGGATTTTTTTTTGGAAGCCCGGGATCCACACATGCCTCATTCCCGTACGTCTCATTCTTTGAATGGGCAAGTTCCATGTTTCTGGCGTATATCTCTTTGAGCCAGAGTCCCAGAGTCCTGAAGTAGATCTGGAGCAAAAAAGAATGGCTGTGGGTCCAAACCCATGGTACCATTTTGGGGTAGGTGAATTCACCACCCATTTTAGTCTACTTTAGTGGTTGGATTGGGATGTTCACTGGGGGTACGATTTGGGTTTTGACGCCATATGGGTAATTAGCTCCTTGCAAAATCTCCGGGAATATGTGGCTGTGGCTCGCACTCCCCCCCAGACGCCATCCAGACGCCTAGGCGCTGGGAAGGATTGCCCTGTCGCCACGCGAGGGGGCCAAATGGGCAGTGCGATCCTGACAGGTGTGGTGACGTTACCTGGGGAATCCTGGGGGCCACCTGAATGCGCTTGATGGTCATGTTTTTTGGGTTTCCTTGTGGCCACCCTATTGCAAAGGCTATCTTGGCAAAATTTGTTTAAGGCTACCTTACGACCTCAGCAAATGTAGGCTTCCTTGCCGAGGTATGCCAAGCTGGTCCCAAAAAGGGTGGCAAAAGGATGGGCGTGGGTGTCAAAACTCGCTCTTTCCTGCCTGGGGCGGTTTTCGGTCGTTTTGTTTCTTCTTCTGTTTCCTCCCTTTTTTTTTGAGGGTTGGTGTCTGGAAGCTGTAGCAAGGAAGCGTCGCTGTCGGCATCTTGTGGGGATGGTTTCGGGAAGCTATGATCAACTAGGAAACCAGTCGAACCCGTCTGCAGATGCTAAAAAGAAAACGGGGGCTGCCGCATCCTGGAAGCTCCCATGACGTGGTGTTTACATGTGACACTTGAGTTTTTTCACAAGGGCGTGGCAAGGGGCTCTCAGGCTTGTGCCCTTCTCGAAAACTTTGCTATCTACATAGGCTAGATATGGGCCAGCATGTAAAGAGTGTGTTTTGTTCCCTCTTTGGGCCAGACCATGGCTTGCTCTACGGGGCCGATGTTTTTTGTAGCTAAACTCCCGCTATGGCCAAGTTCCCGTGGGCCAAGTTCCACGTAAGTCCCATGTAACCCTCGATGGAAAAACCCGAGACTCGGCGCGAGGCACTTTGAGTGCCAGCGCGGCAGCGGCCGCTGGTGGCTGGAGTGGTCCACTGACAAGATCCAATGGCTGGGGCCCTGGCACTGGATCCCGGCTCTGGGGGCCGGGGGGGTTTGGGGCAGCTCCGGGGCTTTCCGGACCCCTCAAAGGGCGGAAATGCCCAGGGAAGCCAAAAGGACACCTGCCATGCTTAGAGTGGTTTATGGAGGGTACCCTGTTCAGTCGGGTTTCAAGGGACAAGAGGAACACAACCATTCAGGGGGGCTCCCTTTTTTTTTTTTGACACAAGCCGCTTATGAAGACTTGTTGGGCGACTAAGACAACCAGCCAAGGGCAACCGTTTGCTTGTCAGCCATTCGGCTTCAGCACGGCCACTTCCTGGGTTGCCTTCTGGCTCCGCCTGCAATATACATCCGTATACATAGCACTGCATGTTCTTTGCTTCTGAACCTCTCGGCGAGTTCGAGGTGCTGCCAACACATGGACTGTCATTTGGGCTCGCCCGCGCAAGAGAACCCGGAGTTTAGCATTGTCCAGGCGGGCATGGGCAGTTTCGCTTGGCCGACGTGACGTACCATGGCAAGACATGTGTTACCATTGTTTGATCAAAGCTTGACAGGGACAGCTTGGCAGGTATGAGGTGGCTTGTCGCTTTCCCCATGCCTTTTGGATCAACTGACACATAAGGGGTTATGTGCGGTTAGCTATCAGAAGCAAGTACGGGCAACTCGTTGAACGGCCAAATTCAACTTGACCTTGAGAACCAAAGTGCCCCTCAGGACCAGACTGGTCAAGCTTCACTAGTTGGGCTCCGTAATTACCCCTGCAGGCACACAAGGGCGGAGGCCCGCATGCGCGCGTGGGACCTCGGTGGGGCTGGTTGTTTTGTCGTGGCCGTGGCCTTCGCGGATCTGGGTGACCCATGCTTTGCCACACGCAAGGCGATGCAGTGGGGGTACAGGAAGCTTGCCCATGGGCCCATGGGAAACAAACAAACACATGCATATGCATGGATCCATGACCTGTTGCCACGAGTATGATATACGGTGCCGGCATGAAATCCGTTGTCAGCACCACGTGCGTGTCACGTAATTAGGGCCATGACATGCCAGCATGAATTGTCTTCATGTTTTGTTTGCATGTGGCTTAGGGGGTGCAGGGGTCTCCCGACCTTGTGGCTGGCTGGTGATTTGGGAAGTGGAAAGTGAAAGGCGCACGAGGAGCAGGTCTCCGAGCATCAGGCGGCCAAATAGTTATTGGCATTGGAAACTCTGTGCCGAAAATCGCAAGCTTTTCTTTATGCCAAACTTGATCTGGTTCTCATTTGCCCTTTCAGTCGGGAATCAGGGAAGTCTAACCACTCATGTTCTTGTCTTAATTGTGTTGATGCAAAGGTATGGACCCTGCCGACAAGAAGGGCAAAAAGCGAGGTGTGTCTTATTGTCGTGCTGCACGAGGTGTCATCAGGTATGACACTGCGACACTGCCGAGTTGGGACGGGTTTGTTTGATGCTGAGCCGGTCGGTTTTACCATTTTGCTTGCCCCGACATTTCCTTGGAACTGTGAAAGTACGAGCCCTTCAACGAACCCCAGGGGAGCAGCGTGCAACGTAGGACCCAATCTTCCCCCCTAACAATTGTAATTTGAGGGGGGGAGTACCCCAGTGAAATTTCATTTTTTGTTGGTGAAACACGGGGTGCCCAAAATAAAAATGTTCAAAGGGGGGGACCCCGACCAAAATAGTTCTCCCGCTTGCGTGTGGGAGGACATTACTGGCCCTGGGGCCCGTCCAAAAACTGGTGCCTCTAAAGGGAAATGGCTCGAAAACCACCAGACTAATCACAAGGCTTCCAAGAAACTGCTGCTTGCGGGCTTTGAGCGGCCGCCAAACCGAACGCTCGACTCAGAAAAGGGTTGCATTTTTTCTGCGGGGTTGGGGTCCACAATTCTATTATTTCAAGGGCTAACCCCCCCCCCCCCGAAAAAGAAATAAATTGCAATTTTAGAGGTCCCCCACTCCCTCCCCCTCCTTAGGGACGGGGATTTAGGACCCCAAGGAGCCCTCTCACCATGGCAGCCCATTTGCCGCGCGTCTCAGGCTGCGTGGGCACCTGTTCTATGGGCTCTGCGCGCCGCACCTGTCGAGAGTGGATCTCGTGGACGGCCGGGAACCTCGAAGCGTTGCAACGTGGCTTCCGGCAGCTCACTTTCTCGCCGGGAACTAAACAACAAAATACGCAAGCTGAACTTCCGGCGGATCGAAGCCAAGACGGACGGACCGGACTTGACGTGACGTGAGCTCAGGAGAGTGGCATTCTTCTTTCCCAGAATGCGAAACGACTGATCTATTAGGGGGCTCCCAGAACAATCAAGTTGGGATTGTGCGAAAGGTCCTTGCATTGTATATTGTATGAAAGGGGAACAGTATTTAGTCTTGTGTTAGCCTCCGCGAAAGTTCTGCGATGGACCTTGCGAAGCTTTCGTGTTTCACTTTGGCATTTACAGCTGGGAAATTGGGACTATTAACACAATGTGCAGCAAGTGTAGCACACAATGTGCACTTCGCAGCTCCAGCTGGAACATCGCATGTTTCTACAACCGTAGTACACCCCATTTGCAGCAAGTGGCAGCAAGGTCCTTTCATAAAATGTTCGAGAATCTTGCGCCAGACATTGCAAGACATGCGGCCTACAGGTCTGAACGTTGTGAGAGCCAAGCGCCACGTGTTTCAAGCCTGGATTAGTAGTCCTGTGTGTGTGTGTGTGTCCAGTAATTGCGCGCGACCAGCCTGCAAAGCGCCTTGCTTACATTACGTGGGTTGCTTGATCATACGCTAAACTTACACTTTCGCAGCTCCAAACACGGAGTTCAGTACTAAATGCAGCACCGTGAAGTTCACTTTGGCTGCTAAAGCTGTAGCATCGCACCTGCTCAGTAAAACCCGCACCGCACAAAGTACACTTTGGCAACTGCAGCTGGGGAGTCATGCTGCGAGCCCGGATCAAGGAGTTTGCAGACAACTGCAAATGGAATCCCGCGGATTTCGCGGGTAAACATGACTGCCCGTTTCTTCTTTGACCTGCGATCTTGTGGGGCGCACTCAGCTTTCCTGTAATGGCATAAAGCGAGTTCGAGAATGGCAGATGAAAGCATCGGCCTTTCACCTTGGCTTTTCCAAACCTTGCATCATTCCTTGGAAAAAAACTTCAGCGCCGGACGTTCGGGAGGCCTATGGGGTTTTTCGGCACCAGCTGCAGCCTTGCCATCTCGCCTTCCAGCGGATAAGGGTGGCACGCCCAGAGGGTTGAGCCGTCGGTACCTTTGCCATGGCTCATCTCATTAGGGCGAAAGGGGCCTCCACCTGAAGAAAGTTCTCCGCATCCTTCACCCGAAAGTTCTTGGATTCCTTTTGGATTGTGAGGGGGCCCGAGGCTTTTTTTTTCCCCCTACCTTGGGGACTTGCGACATTTGGTGGTAAGATCATGCCGGGTAGCTCCACTTTGGGGCTAGGAGGTAGCAATGTGTGGCCTATTTCCAGCATGGGACAGGATGGGTTAAAGGGGGACATGGTTTCTAACAAACAAGTTCCAGTATGCATCATACAGCATGGGTAGCATTCCAGAGCCCATGCGTTGGAGCCCATGCGTTGGAGCCCATGCAGGGTCACGCTTTTCGTGGGGCCCAGGTGCAATGTCCTGCATGCGCTGAGTGCACCTTAGACGATGCCGCAGGCTGTTTGCTGGAATCTCAGTTCAGCTTCTCCCGCATTGTCACCCACCTTTTTGACAGCAGCACCCAAACCGATGCATATTGGGTTTTTAACAAAAAGGTGGTTCTACGACATCGACAGCATGGCTGCATAAAGGTAAGAATGAAGCCTACATAAACCATTCGAATCAGCTTGGTAGAACCAAGAGTGACTTTTGCACTGCACATGTTCCTTCTTTGTCTCGTCGATTTCCCGCTGAACATGGTCAACCTCAAAAATGAGGTCCCTCTTTTTCTATCAGGGTGGCGGGTAACTGGGAATCATGGACAACTACGGATTGCAGTTTTGAGCATTGCGAGTATTTTGGCTATGTTGGCACCTGCATTGCCTTAGGGCTTCGCAAGGATTTCAACATGAAGGAAGGCAGACACCCAACAGTACATTCCCCAAAGGCTCAATGTGTTGACAGTCCACGGCGAGCTCTTCCATGAAGCTGGTTGAGCTCTCCCATTTGGATCGCCGTCTTCGCTGCAGTATGCAGAGGGGAACCGTTGGGGTAGGTGGACGGCCCAAGATTCTTTGTTGTCCTCAGTGGATTGGGAAGGATTGGGAAGGGCTCCTTCTGTGTTCAAGTGCTGCACCGCCCAAGATAGTCGAGGTTTCTTGCAAGGGCGAATCGATTGAACGCACCTGGCAACGTTCAAAATGTCAGTACAACTAGCTTGTTTGTTGCTTGTTGTGTCCCTAGGTATTTTGACTGTTGTACCTACGCCCCCATTATTCAACGAGGAAGGAGGGTCGTTTGGATAAACTATCTGGACATGTCGAGTGGGGAAGGGGCAGTGAGCAGGACAAAGGGCGAACTTCTGCGGCCATGGGAAAGAGTTGTTGCGCGAAGCGCAGTGGGTGTCTTCTTTGCTCTTGGAAACCACGTGTGCACGTTAATTAGATACTCATGATTAATTGATCATGCAGGCATTGGACATAGATGGACAAGGCCGAAACTCGAATGAACCGCCTCTGCGTTAGCCACGCCAAGGAGTGCCTAGATTCCGCGTGTGGAGGCAGGATGGTACCGTCCTTTACCTCACATTGCTTGACAGCATTGAGAGCATTTTGTGGCTTGGGCAGGGATGCCGGGACCCACATTTTGGGGGGAAAGCACGGGACGGTGTTCTTGTGGGCTTTTTTATGCAATTTTTCCCTGTGTAACCCCGAAAATGGCACACAATGAGAAATAAATCAAACTGCCATGTCATGGTTAGAGCATGGGCCCACATGGAAGAAAGAAGGCGGCTCTCCTGTCCAAACTTGGTTGCTGTGGTTTCACCTTTAGCCAGTTCACCATTTTGGAAAAGAAGAGCTGCCCAAAAGCCGTTTGCGAATTAATGGACTCAATTCGACATGTTGCATCTAAAAAAGGCGTTCTTTAGAGTTGATTCGATACCTATGCAGCACCCTGTGGCACCTCATCACCGTGGATAACTTTGATTTGCTGCCCACCTGTGGAAATTTACTTAGGCAGCTGCATGACTGGGTACTGAGAGAAGAAGAGAGTGTTCGATGCAGGGACTGTATTTGGGGATGCTTCAGTTCTCAAGGCTCCAAGAGTGACCCCTGAAATCATGGTGGACAAACGTCTCTTTGCTTCCCCCAATGTTTGGCCCGCCGTCCCCAACATGTGTCTTGTCCGTGCGCAGGAAGGTACAGTAGTTGCAAAACAAGTTACCTCGCTTGCTGGAAGCAAGCGCCCAGCTTAGAAGTTTAGCTACTTCTCCGGATGCAAGATCAACAACACCACAGCAACAGATGCAGCCAGCAGCAGCAGCAGCGGCGGCGGCGGCGGCGGCGGCGACGACACCACCACCACCACCACCACCACCACCACCACCACCACCACCAACAACAACAACAACAACAACAACAACAACAACAACAACAACAACAACAACAACAACCACAACGACCACAACGACGACAACGACAACGACAACGGCAACGACAACGACAACAACAACAACAACAACAACAACAACAACAACAACAACAACAACAACAACAACAACAACAACAACAACAACAACAACAACAACAACAACAACCACAACCACAACCACAACCACAACCACAACCACAGCCACAGCCACAGCCACAGCCACAGCCACAGCCACAACAACCACAACCACAACAACCACAACAACCACAACCACAACCACAACCACAACCACAATCACAACAAGCACAAGCACAACCACAACCACAACGACAACGACAACCACAACCACAACCACAACGACAGCGACAACGACAATGACAATGACAACGACCACGACAACGACAGCGACAACGACAACGACAACGGCCACGACCACCACCACCACCACCACCAACAACAACAACAACAACAACAACAACAACAACAACAACGACCACAACGACCACAACGACGACAACGACGACAACGACAACGACAACGACAACGACAACGACAACAACAACAACAACAACAACAACAACAACAACAACAACAACAACAACAACAACAACAACAACAACAACAACAACAACAACAACAACAACAACAACAACAACAACAACAACAACAACAACAACAACAACAACAACAACAACAACAACAACAACAACAACAACAACAGCAACAGCAACAGCAAGCAACAGCAACAGCAACAGCAACAGCAACAGCAACAGCAACAGCAACAGCACCAGCAACAGCAACAACAACAACAACAACAACAACAACAACAACAACAACAACAACAACAACAACAACAACAACAACACCGGCAGCGGCAGCGGCAGCGGCAGCGGCAGCGGCAGCGGCAGCGGCAGCGGCAGCAGCACCAGCACCAGCACCAGCACCAGCAGCAGCAGCAGCAGCAGCAGCAGCAGCAGCGCAAGCAGCAGCAACAGCAGCAGCACCAGCAGCATCAGCAGCAGCAGCAGCAACAACAAAAGCAACCGGCTTTACCGCGGGGGTGCGCAGACTTCAGCCGGTGCACTTGAGCGGGTGTTAAACACAAAAGCGACTGTATTCCCTCGGACCGACGGCACCAAAAAAAACGCACATGCGCAAGGATGCTGCTGCCAATGGCAAACAATGTTACATAATCCGCGCGCTAGCCGGGAGAGCGAATCACAGTTAGTTGAACCATTGCATGCGTAAGTTTTCCAAGTAACAGAAGCTGGCCCGGTGTCCCTGGAAGAGCCCTTTCCTCGAAAGCTTCCGGCACAGTGCCGCTATTGCACCAGGAGAGGGGTACTTCATGTAAAAGGCATTTAGTGTCAGCGCATGCTTTGCGCGCCACTCGCAGGTGTGCTGTCTGAGCGGAAGCAATTGCAAGAGAAGCAGCTGCACATGCACGAGCTTGGGGTTCTCTTTTAGCTTGGTGACCTCGAGGTTTAGTAGCGGACTGTTTCCAGCAGATGCCGTTCCAGCAAGAAGTCTGGCACCTTGAGTGATGCCTCTCCTTGCCGACCAAGTTCGAACAGGTTTCAAGATTTCATTGGTACAAACCTGGGGGCATCTGGTACAAGAAGTAGCCCCTACTGGCATACAATCAAGGTAGGTAGGTCCCTGATGTTGTTGGTGCTAAGATCGGCATGCAATTGCATGTTCCATAGCCTGCTTGTTGTGCTGCCACGCGTCCAGAGCTCCCTGACCCCGGGCTCTATTACGTCGGTGCTAACTTTTTTGGGCCCATGGCAGGGTACTTCGTGGAGGTCGGCCCATTGTTGTCACCTGCGTAGGGACCTCTCACGCACCCACATTAATACCCAGCATTTGGCAGCCCGAGGTTTGCAGCTGTGAATTCAGAATGCACGCGTAAATCGCGGAGAGATATATCATTGGCACAAGGCCTTTGTGCTCGTGTCCAAGACTTGTTTAGTGGACGATTGGGCTGATCGCCTTGGCTTTGATCGCTGCATTGTTGGCGACTTGTCGGGTGTGCATCGAATATTGCTCAAGCCGTCACTGAGGTTCGAATTTGGTTCAGTTCGGCACTTCCATGCCCTACTGGTTGCCATCCTGTGAGGGCTTCAACCCGGCTGCTGGAACAGCGACCGGCTCTGAAGGCTTTGAATTACACTTTCGCAAGATGCGGGAGAAAGATGGGTGTGCTCGCGGTGAGTTCATGGATTCTAGATGATTCCAGGAGTCTTGACCAGGACCTTGATACAAGCAACCGCCCTCCATTACATGTTATTAAGCACATGTACTGCAGGTGTTTTGGCGCCGCGTGTTTTCAGTTAGGCAGTTGCAAACGTGTGCCCTTTGTTTCTTGCATCCCATTTAGGTCTGGGCCATGGGGGGTGCAAGGCAACTGGAGGGCCGCGTCAGGCGATTCGTGCTCAGCTCGCCAGGCTTGGATCGCAAAGGGTTGCGTTGCTTGCCAGGCATGGATCGCCCCTTTTTTGCTCCAGCGGGGCTGCATTTTGTGGAAATCACTTTTGCGTCGCGCTCCGAAAACATGCCTTGGATGGTTTTTGGGATTGCTGACTCTGGTTGAAAACGCACCTGGAAGGCACTGTCCCAAGATCACACATGGGTTTCTACAGTTGCTGTGGCATTTTTGGCCGCCCCTGCCTGGAACCTCTTCGGCCCTCGAGTTTTGCCTAGGAAAGCGAGCATTTGGATTTATGATACCCATTCTCCATGTTGAAGACCTACAGGTTTGCTCTCTTTCTGCACAATTGGGCAGTAAACCCATCCGACAACCTCAGTCTCAACGCAAAAAATTGGCCCCGGCGCTTTGAAATGTTGGCCGGGGCACAAGAAAATGAACATCCTCGATTGGTTGGCCCCTCCTGGGCTTCTTGGCCAGGCTTGGTGGTATGGGTCAAAATTAAAGCACCAGGGGAGCAGGTTTTCGTCCATATTTCCAGTTACCAGTGCAACCCATTTTGGATACCTATGTTTGACCCACAGCCAAGTGGTAAAATACAGTGTCAACAGGACTTCTTTGGAAGACTTGGTTCCATTTACAGGAGGGAGCTTGTTAGGCTGAGAAAGTGTAAACAAACAAGTTTAACTGTGCAAAGTCCCAACTCTCGTGCTCTTTGCAGCCAGGGCGCAGTTTACTCCCAAGTCATCATGCGAAAACATGCTGAGTCGCATCTACCCCCTTGACCCCATAAGTCCCAAGTCAGTTGCGCCCAGAATAAGTTTCATCAACCGTCGTTTGGCCGCAAACTCGGAGGCGGTTCGCGCGCCGGCGCGCCCGGCGCGTCGCAGCGCCTCCCGCCGAAGCCTCGATGGGGTTGGGAGTTGGTTGCTTCCCATCGCAAGAACCCGGGCTGTTTTTTTTCTTTTTTAAACGGAAGGTTTGTCAATAGGAAGAGGTGATTAAGTATTCAGGAAGGTGGCAGGTAGGGCTTGAATCTGCTTGGCAAAGGCGTTGCTGTGGTTTGATTGGCGTTTTCCACACAGCTTCCAACCAAGCCAGCCATTTGCGCCCCACAGCTCGAGCGAGACGAGCCAGGAGAAAAAGAGCTCCGGCAGGGCCACCGCGCCGGGGACCTAAGCCGGACCGTTAAGCAGTTGGAAAGCCGACTCGCCACAAACGGGGTGTGTCCCATTAAAACACAAACGATATGATCCTATCTGCAGAATAGATATCCATTGAGCGGCGTTTTTTTGCCGCAAGCTAATTTAGTAGGGGAGAGGGACATTATTATTGAAAATGTGCACCGCGCCACACGCGCGGAAGCATGCGGAAGGCTCCGCGGAAGGGATTCTTTCGCGGAAGGTTTGTAGATTCTTTGTGGAAGCTTTGTGGCTGACGTGAAACATTGTTTTAGATTGCGCGCGTGGAAACGCACGGGGAACCATTACAGTAGAAGCAGAAAGGTGTTGCTGCGTACAAGAAACGCAACGCTTGCTAGAAGAGCAGTTGCCAACAGCAAGCCAAGAAGACTAAAACAGCCGGCGGATTTCGCGGAAGGTTTGCGGAAGGTTCGCGGAAGCTCCGCGGAAGGGTGGCCCCGTGTTTGCCGGCAAGTGCCCACGAAGCACAGGTAGATGGAGCCC